TCCACAGGTTAGGGGACCTGGACGGCTGGGGAGCCCCTTCGTCCATTGTGGAACTGCATGGTTGGCTTCAGAATTCAGAACAAGGTAGGATTCTGCCACCTCCCAGCAGTTTACTGACAGGTGTCATGCATGAAAGTAGGAGAGAGGGGATTCATAAAAACAAAACAAACAAACAAAAACAATGAAAAACAAACCCTTATTCATTAGAAGCAGAGAGTCCAGCCAAGGGGGCAAAGGAGGCACCCATGAATGAGGCTGATGTGATGTCCTCTCGCCCATGAGTTCCAATCAAGCACTTAAAATTACCAGTGACCAGAATCTTATTCCCAGATGATGCAGATGGGGAGAGAATAAGGTGAAGGGGAGAGAGAAGGCGTGTGGGATCGGAATGGCCTGTTGCTGACGGTAGTTGCTGGACCCAGTGAGAACGTGCAGTAATATTAATAATGAAGATGATGGTGGTAATGATAGCCAATCTGAAGGTTACACGGCTTGTCAGAAGACTGTGAAAATCTTCAAGCTTCGATAGAAATAATTAAGTAGAATTGATTATTATCTTAATTAAATGCACTGTTATATTAAAATGATTGTTTTGTATTTATACCCCTTATGAAGCCAAGTATTGGCCTTTGGCAGAATTACCAACGATTACCAGGTATTACCTGGTAATCGAGTTAAGAATTACCAGGATATAGCAATGGAATATTCTACAACAGAAAGTCTGACGCCATGTGGAAAGGAGAGGGCTGTTAAGAGAAGGGATCTGAGAAGTGTTAGTTTGATTATCATGAAAAAACATCGATACCCAAGATCCCTTACATGTTTAATGTCCAGTAAAACTTGGCCTTAAAAGTAGATGTGACCCTGAGGATGTGAAGAAACGGAGTAGGAGTCACACATGCTCCTGGCTCTCTTCTATCTCGCCTTGTTTGTAACATCTAGTGAAATTCTCTGCAGGATTTTACAGATGGATCTTAAAAGCATTCTGTTAAAATTTGATTAGGCCCATATTGGGCTTGGGACATGAGAGAGCGTTAGTGCAAGTATTCAAAAGGAACAGAACTTTGTCCTGCAAGAAAATAGAGCGGGTCTAGAACTTCCTGGTTGGTTTATGAGTTACAATGTATACATCATTATTATGCATTATTTTGATATACATTTTAAATTCTGGAATAATTAAAAAATACAAAAATCTGAGAACTCTTTCAAATAAGGAAGTCCTATTTGCTCGCATATACTCCTGAGATTAGGACACAGCTATAATGATGTGCTAAGAATACTTCATGTCCTACTTCAATTATAACATTTGTTTCCTGCGTAGAACAGAAAATAAAGCTTTGTTTTAATTATATGGTGTCTTAGATTAGTTTGTGTGGTATGCTATGAACACAGGCAGATTCCTTTTCATAAGCAATGACAACCACTCTCCCAAAACTATCACCCTTTCGTCCAGTCACTTTTTTTAAAAAAAGATTTTATTTTTTTAATTATTTGAGAGAGAGAGCATGCATGTGCAGGGAAAGAGGCAGAGGGAGGGGAGAAGACACCCTGCTGAGCAGGGAGCCCAGTGTGGGACTCGATCCCAGGACCTGGAGATCATGAGCTGAGCCGACGGCAGGCGCTTAACTGACTGAGCCCCCCAGGGGCCACTCATCCAGCCTTTTATACATTCACTATACATAGGCACATACGGTCGTCCCACTTAACTGGGGTTTTGCTCTCCGTGGTCTCAGTTACGTGCGGTCAGGTTCACCGAGGGACTGATCCTACTTCTGACATAGCATCAGAAGGTCAGCAGTAGCCTAACTCTCACTCACTGCACATGATCATCTTCCGTCATCCCAAGAAGAGGGTATATACAGAACAAAGAGGTATTTTGAGCCTGGGTGGCTCAGTCAGTTAAATGCCTGCCTTTGGCTCAGGTCATGATATAATAAATAAAATCTTTTAAATAAGTAAATAAATAAATAAATAAGGTATTTTGAGAAAGACAGAGAGACCACACCTGTAAAACTTACTACAGTATATTGTTGTAAGTGTTCTATTTCATTATTAGTTATCATTGGTAATCTCTTACCATGCCCAACTTATAAATTAAACTTTATCATAGTTAGGTATATATAGGAAAATACAATATATATAGGGTTTGGCACTCTCTGTGGTTTGTGGCACCCCCTGGGGGTCCTGGAACATAGACCATATGGGTTAAGGCAGAGGAGGGACAACTGTACACGTGCAGAAAAACCCCTGCAAATACTATTATATTTCCATTTTAATTCACTCAGATATATTGCTGATACATTCAGATTTATTAACTATGTCCTTTTACAAAACAAATCTTCATTAGCCTTTGTGCTTTTTTATGTTGATAGTTTCAGTTCTCAAAAATATATTCTAGGGCGCCTGGGTGGCTCAGTGGGTTAAGCCTCTGTCTTCAGCTCAGGTCATGATCTCAGGGTCCTGGGATCGAGTCCCACATTGGGCTCTCTGCTCATCAGGGAGCCTGCTTCCCCATCCCTCTCTGCCTGCCTCTCTGCCTACTTGTGATCTCTCTGTGTCAAATAAATAAATAAAATCTTTAAAAAAATGTATTCTAAATGTCCTATAGTATTTTATCGTATTAAAACACAATCCATTATATTCATTCATTAAACCCTATATTGGCATGTTTTCTGCTCTTACAAAGAGTGCTAAGAACCATTTCATGTGTGCTTTTTGTGAATGTCCGACAGTTTCTTCAGAGAGATTCCTGGTCAAGCCCCCCTTACGTTTAGAAGTTGTTACCAAATCTCTGTCGCGATTGAACAACTAACTCTCCACAGTGCGGTGCGTGTTTCTAGTGCTGGAGAAAACTGCCTTTTGAAACCAAGCATCACCACTAATGAGCTATGTGACCTTTGACTGGTTACTAACTTTGCTTTAATTTCCTCACTCTTAAAAAGGAAGATATTCTCATACCCAAGTCATAGATTTCTAAGAGAATTGGATGGATACCAAGTGCTTAGAACAGCAGCAAGCACATAGCCAGTGTAAGCCATGACTATTATTATGAGGCCATTGATAAAGTTATCAGAATTTTATATCTGTCACCTTCCTGTTTGAAATGGCATTTCCCAGTTACCAGAGAGTTTCTGCTTCTTTTCTCTTATTTATTGGTTATCCTTTTCTGTTTGTATTCTTTGTCTAATTTTCTATTTTATTTCCAGTCTTATTTATTTGTAGAAGTTGTTTATAAGACACAGCTTAATCTCCTCTCTGTTTTTGGTTTTTATTGTATTACTGTGTGTATGATGTTTGTGGTCGAACAGCAATTGTCAAATATACGATTTTGATATAGCTTCATCCTTCCCATTAGAATTCATGTTTGGGAACCCTAGTTCCTTATTCCAAAATCATGAAAGTATTATTCTGTTTCCTTGTGTAAATGTTTTATGCTTTGCTGTTTATAGTAAGACTTAAGTTCATCTGGAATTCATTTTCACACCTAGCATGAGATAGAGGTCAGCGTTCGTTTCCTTTACTAATCAGCCCATTCTTAATGCCTAATGCACGCAACAGCCCCCTTACATACCCCAACTCCACACCCATGTGTGGGCGTGGGTTGAGTTCTCTAGTCTGTCCAGGTGATCCCTTCTTCTGGCGTCTGCGCCAGAACCACGGTATTTGTGGATTTGGGCTTTCTGGAGTTTTTACTGAGCTACAGTGAACATGGGTTTCTAAGTGCCCTGATGGGTAGATTTTCACGAGCCCTCAGATCCAGAGCATTTCCCGCACTCCAGAAGCCCTGCTCTTGCCCCTCTGTGATCACCAGCACCTTGGCCAAGAAACCACCAACCCAACTTCTACGGTGTAGCTTCATTTTACCTGGTTTTGTACTTTATCTTACAGAATGTTCTCTCGTGTCCCGACAGACGCCACCCAATATTATGTTTGTGAGAGTCACCTAATCATTTTTTATAGCTGCAGGTCATTTATTCTATTTTTAAAAAGCTATTTGCCCTGTGATTATAAATGACTTCAAACATATGAACAATTTGCAGATAAATAGCACAAACAAATTTTTTTCCAACCATTTCCAAATGATTTGCTGGCATGCTGTCCCATCAACCTTGAATACATGGGTTGTGCATTTCCTGCAAACAAAGACTTTCATTCCCTGTGAAACCTCTGTACCACCCCTGGAATCAGGAAATTCCTCCTGATGCACTGTGGCCATCCGGTCAAAACATCCCATTCAAGTCTTTCCCGTTTTCCCGGTAATGCCCACAGAGCCAAAGACCCAGGCTGCCATGACAGGGTGGGCAGACTTTGATCTTGTCTGGACACTTCCCTCCATCTTCTGATGAGATTCCCACTCTCAAGAGCCTTGAAGCGACAGGCCAGTTACTATGTAAAAGAAAAATTAAGTTTGTCTGATACTTTTTCATGACTCAGACACCTCCGTTTCATTCTGTGTTTCTTCTAAAATAACAGAATTTACTGGTACTCAAAAGGACTAAACATACTGGCACCATGGCAATCCTCATAAGTCACTATGTCCCTGAAATTAAGTTCTTTTTTGTTTTTCTGAGAAGTTTGTAAGTCCTTCCATGTTTTGGTGGCAAGTGCTTTCTACTCGGGTTAAAAACCCTTTCTAGCTCACGTTACTGAGAAGAAATGTTGCAGAGAGACGTTGTGTGTGATGCCAGTTCCCGCAGGTTCAGCTTACTTCACAGGTTCCCATCAAACTGGATGTGCGTGAGTTGGTCTGCTTAAGGACAGCAAAAGAATTTCAAGCCCGCGAACCAAGTCATGAAGGATCAGACACCCGCCTCTCTTTTATCATTGTAAATGCTTAAAACTTGCTGAAAAGGGCATAATTTCCCAGACTTTTGTAGTTATAGACGAGTTTCAGATATAGAGCTTCCCTGGCATTTGAATCTTGGGAGTGAGTCAGCTGTGTCCTGAGGTTGAGAAGCCCGTACCTTCTCATGATGTCTGTCTCCCACTCTGCCCGGCAGGTGTCTCAGCTCTACCTCAGCAGCACGGGGCAGCCCTGCTCCTCCTTGCCTCCCCACATCTTCTCCTGTGCCGAGAGAGCCTTTCACCAGCTTTTCCAGGAGCAGCGGCCCCAGTGCTTCATTCTCAGGTGAGCTCACCCCTCGCCCACCCTCCCATGGTGCACTGACGCGCTGGGGGCTTTGCTGTGAGTTTCTCCTCCTTTCCTCTGGTTCACATTCATTGACTTCCTCAGCAGCTGGTGGTCCCATGTGTCTTTCCAATAAGTAATTTGACTCATTACCAAGGAGAAACATCTCTGTTCTTAGAAATAGCCCCAAGTGTGGTAGAATCAATATCAACACACTTAACCTGAAACTCAATTCATTTTGAAGATTTACTACTTGGGACCAGAGCGCTTTCAAACCTCAGGAATCACAGGGAAAGAAAAGCACCTGCGATCAGCTGCCATGATGTGGTACGGACCAAAATACAAATGATTACCCTGCAATTGTGGGTTTTCTCACCCACTTCTCGCTATTTACCTATGTTCATCTTTTACCAAGTATACACTGGAAGTGTTTTATACTGAAATATCATGGTAACATTAGTTCCTTAATACAAGATGCCCAGGATGATGATTTACATGGAAGTGAAAATAAACACACACACAAGAACCGCAGGACGTGGAGGTGACATGAGATTATGTATTGATAAAGGATTAAAGTACTATTTAGGTATTAAAATAAGATGTGCATTGAGAATTACATTTCATATTAGGAGCAGCCTCTACCAGAGGGGACTTCTGTAAATCCTCAGGTTTTGCCCAAGTTACAATAAGTAGTGTCGGCTGGGGGCTGAATGTGTGAATAAACCTTTGCCCAACTCATCAAAGTGAAATGAGAGATAGGAAATGTGGACACCTGCATAGAACCAAAAAGACATTTAAATATTTAAGTTAGCACTTATTTATACACTTTTAACTTACTAACTTGATCAGAAGTTCCAGAGAGGGTCAGATGGATGGCTTGCAAACACCCGTGCTCTGGTTTTCAAAATAGCACACAAGTGGTTGTGTTCACCCTTGTTCTGAAGTGCCCCCAGCCCCAAAGGAGAGGCCCTGGGGGCATGGTGGCCCCGGCCATTCTTGAATCAAGCAACTGTGTTCTCATCTGCTTTATCTATCTGATTGTCTAGTCTAACTTTGACCAAAATGGGGAGCATTTTTTAAAAATCGTGAGATTGTGGGGTGTATATATATACTAGTGTGGTCATTAATAACAACTGATGTTTATTGAGAACTTAGTAAGTGCCAGACCCTTCACAAGGAGCTTCCATGTGTTCCCTTATCCATTGCTTTAGCAGTCTTCCAAGATATGTATTATGTGTGTGTGTGTGTGTGTGTGTTCCAAAATTCATTGTTTATGCACCATACCCAGTGCTTCATGCCAGACGTGCCCTCCTTAGTACCCACCACCAGGCTCACCCAATCCCCCACCCCCCCCTCTCCAAAACCCTCAGTTTGTCTCTCAGAGTCCATAGTCTCTCATGTTTCACCTCCTTCCAATTTCCCTCAACTCCCTTCTCCTCTCCATCTCCCCTTGTCCTCCATGCTATTTGTTATGCTCCACAAATAAGTGAAACCATATGATAATTGACTCTCTCTACTTGACTTATTTGACTCAGCATGATCTCTTCCAGTCCCATCCATGTTGATACAAAAGTTGGGTATTCATCCTTTCTGATGGAGGCATAGTATTCCATAGTTTATATGGACCACATTTTCCTTATCCATTCGTCCATTGAAGGGCATCTTGGTTCTTTCCACAGTTTGACGACTGTGACCATTGCTGCTATGAACATTGGGGTACAGATGGCCCTTCTTTTCACTACATCTGTATCTTTGGGGTAAATACCCAGTAGTGCAATTGCAGGGTCATAGGGAAGCTCTATTTTTAATTTCTTAAGGAATCTCCACACTGTTCTCCAAAGTGGCTGCACCAACTTGCATTCCCACCAACAGCGTAAGAGGATTCCCCTTTCTCCACATCCTCCAACACATGTCGTTTCCTGTCTTGTAAATTTTGGCCATTGTAACTGGTGTAAGGTGGTATCTCAATGTGGTTTTGATTTGAATATCCCTGATGGCTAATAATGATGAACAATTTTTCATGTGTCTGTTAGTGATTTGTATGTCTTCTTTGGAGAAGTATCTGTTCATGTCTTCTGCGCACTTTTTGACATGATTATCTGTTTTGTGTGTGTTGAGTTTAAGGAGTTCTTTATAGATCCTGGATATCAGCCCTTTGTAGTGTTATTTACGCATATCTTCTCCCATTCCATCGGTTGCCTCTTTGTTTTGTTGACTGTTTCCTTTGCTGTGCAGAACCAAGATATGAATTATTATTAACATCATGATTTTAACTGTCAGGTGACTGCATATTAGGAGGAGTAACTCATTAGTCTAGGGTGTCCAATTAGTAAATAGTGAATCTGGGTTGTGAGCCCAATAGTGTAAATTGGTGAATGGTGATTAATTAGTGTAGGGCATAGTGGATACCGTATGTGGGATGGGAACCCCATCGTCTGGCTTCTGGGCCTGAGTGAAGCTTACCCACTAGTGCATAGCCAGACCCCTGTGGTCACCCCAGCAAGGTTTCCAGCAGCCCACCCCGTGCTTCCCTAAAATGAGGGCCACATATCCGTGGATTCTCCTAAATTCTAACTGAATCCACTGAATTCTTTTGAAAGACATTGGTCCATAGCGAAGTTCTGAGTTACCAATGAATTGTATCCTTTGGGAATCTTCCTGTTAGAGATTTCACAGTATCTAGCAAGTGCTTTCAGTAAATAAAGCTGTTGATCTCTAACCCAGTGCTTTCTACATGAATTTACTCATGGAATTATTTTTCCAGTAGGACCTGTTAGTATTCTACAGAAGCATTATTTCTTTGGGACATTTTTAAAGGCTAATAATGCCATGTATCAACCAGTTTCTCTTAAAAAAAAAAAAAAAAAGATTTCTTCGTTCAGGTTTCAAGAAATCAAGAGCCAACCTGTGATCACAAGGACTTGCTATTTTAGTCATTCTCTGTCTTCTTTCAGGATTGATGTTTTCATGTGGCTTCTCTATCTCCTTGATTGTCTTGCCTAAGATAAAGGTTTTCTGTACTTATTATACTAATTCATTAAAATTAGAAAATTTAGAAGTCAGCTAAATACATGATTTAAAGATCATTTTTTTGAGAGTCTCTTGTGTCTTTAAAAGATTCATTTATTTGAGAGAGAGAGTGGGAGGGAGAGAGACTTGGGGAGAGGGAAAGACAGTCTTTCTTGAGCAGACTCCTCAGGGAGCACAGAGACCTACGTGAGGCTCGATCTCACGACCCTGAGATCATAACCTGAGCCAGAACCAAAAGCTGGATGCTTAACTGACTGAGCCACCCAGGTGGCCCAAGAGAGTCTATTACATCTTACAAAAAGCATTTACAAAGGATAATTTCAGATTTGTGGCTCAAAACACAAATATTCCTGGAATAACCATCCTATAACTTAGGACTAGGGTGGGACTTTTTAAGTCTTATTTTCAAAAATTCAGTTTGATTTTTCAATCAATTTGTTGATAATTGTAGGTACCAACTAGCACACTCGGCTTCATCTTGAGGAATAGTTTTTCATGATGTTCAGATCTTGATCCTGGGTTATAACTGAGAGTTTGGAGTTTACCATCATCTATCTTATCTTTAATTTTCTGAAGGCCCTGATGGATGGTTTTAATTAATTGTCAGAGCACAAGTGACAAAAATCCATTATCCGAAGAGTGTGTGGAGCAAATCTAAATTAATGTTATATGCTGTACACACAAGTGACTTGTGAAATACACGGTATAGGGTCTGCCTCTATCACGTGCAGATTTAGCAAACAAGGCTATTCAAGTAAGCCTTAAAATTCTTATGGGCTCCTGATTGGCACCACCCACAATCTCTGGTCAATTCTAATGAAATCACAGACTGGATTTGCAGATCAAGGAATGTTTCTTGAACACATAAGGGTAGGACTTTTAGTTTTAATTTGATCACCTATAGAGTCAACCCTATCCTATCCCATATTATATTTTTCTTTTATTTCCTTGTATTTTACTCAGTTTAAATGGAATATGGCTATTTTTGGGATTTTATGAGATGGTTAAAATCCATGGGATTTTAGCCAGCTAAGAGAACTGATGATCATTTTCTCTACTCCTACTTGTTGTGATAGAGTAAGCCCAGTGGTGGCGGAAGGGGAGGCAGCTCAGCCACATTCCCTCATAGGTGTCTGCGGTCTTCATGTCTGCAGACTCTGCAGTACTGGTTGAGAATCTCTTGTTGAATAATGGCTGCCTTCCACACTACCCCTTCTCCGAGAATCAGTCCACCCCCCACCTCATGAGGAAGTCTTCCCCGGTTTCTTCCACTTCTGGGCACACTGCTCCTTCTTCACCTGTGGGAACCTTGTTCCCTGTGAACAGAATCTCTACAACAACAAGATTTGTGAAACAGCCAATTATTTTGCTAAGTAAAAGAATATTTATAACAGTGAATACAAATGTAGAAGTTAAATTTCCATCAAGAAAGAGCTAAATTGTTTCATCTCTGAAATGAGAAGGTTAAAAGCAAATGTCTTTGAACCCAGAAAAGGAGCTCCTTCTCCTGTGCAGGTCTCTGTCACCTGTGCCCCGAGGTGGTTGTTCCAAAACGTCGTTCAACTATGTGGATGAGGGGAATAGAAGTGTTTGTTAACAAGGGGAGGCTGTAATAAAAGTAGTAAATTTCAGCTTCTTCTTTTCCGGCAAACATCCTTTAAGCAAATTCATTAGTATGAGAGACGCAGGGAGAAGCTTGAGAAATCAGCACTAGTAAAGAGCTTTATACAGATTTTTAATTTTTAAGCTCTCAGTTGAATAAAGACTCTTTTCCTAAATAAAGACTGTTTTCATGAGCATTCTATCTGGAAACAGTAAGTACTTCATTTTAAATCATTAATTACTGTATTGGATTTTTATGTTAATCTTCTATTGCCTCGTGTCCAAAATGTAATATAGTTCATTTATAGAAATTAGATGAGTTATGGGGGCCTGGGGGCCTCGGTGGGTTAAGCATCTGACTCTTGGTTTTGGCTTAGGTCACGACCTCCAGCTCCTGAGGTTGATCCCCAGGTCAGGTCCACACTCGGCAAGGAGCCTGCTTGAGATTCTCTCTCTCCCTCTGCCCTGCCCCGGCTTGCACACGCATGCACATTCTCTCTCTCTCTCAAATAGATAAATGAAAATCTTTTAAAAAAGAAATTTGATGAGTTATGAAGCATGCCTGAGAAATAGGAAAAGTATTGTCTTATTAATCACAAGTTTGGCGAGGGTCCGTTTGTTCTGGACACACAGAGCATCAGGCTAACAGCAGCCTCACGGGGCAGCTGGCCATCGGAGGATCCACCTTACTCCCCTGGTCATATCTGACCATCTTAACAACTTAGTTTCAGGAGCTGCTTGCTTTATGTTCATTTTGGAGGGAAGACAAGGGAAGCGTAGAAAGATCCCATGGGTCTCCGGAGGAAGACGGAATGTCTTTCCTGGAAGGCTCAGAAAGATTCGGCAAGGTCATGTGGTGGAGCTCTAGGACATGCATCCCCACTGTAGAGACTGTCCCCTGGGGCCACCTCACTTACCTTCATTTACAAAGCTGAGGACAAGTCGTCATTGTCTTTCTTTTCAGCTTGACCTCTGTCTGCTGTAATTCACCTACACGTGTGGTTCTACCCTGTGAGACAGTGGATGGCAGACTTGCCTCCCACTGATAGGAGGCTCCAGCATCTAGAGACTTTGGGGTGAAATTCATATGGCGTCCCAGCATCTAGAACACCACAGGGCATGTGACGTAGCTCGTGTGTACTAACTATTTTGGATGAACAAATCAAAAGGAAGAGTTAGATGATACCATACATGCATCAAAGGGCCAGTCATTCCCTTACCATCTTTGTATCTGAGGATCCTGTCTGCCCATTGGATCGTTTACTACATTCTCCAAAACAGTAAACTTGGGTTTTCTCTCTCTGCTTTCTTTTAGTGGAGAAAGAGGATCGGGCAAGTCCGAAGCCAGCAAGCAAATAACGAGACACCTCACCCGCAGATCTGGCTCCCGCAGGCCCGTGTTGGACTCCAAATTTAAACATGTAAGTTTCTTGTTTGGGTTGGAGAATACGTTGAGCCGAAAAATCTGCAGTTTACCAATAAATGGGAACATCATGATAAGACCATAATTTGGCCATAAATTGGCCCAAGTTTGCAGAAATAAAGGAAAAAAGAAGATTGCAGCAAATTAATGCTGCTCAAGTGAAGGTTCATTTTCTTGTACCTGTTTTCAAATATTTTGAACATACTCTCCTTATATTTGCTCAGAACAGTTGGATTGAAAACGTGTAATAGACTTAGAGACTGCTGTTGCTTGCTGGAAAGTGCCACTTTGGTGTGTCACTACCTCTGAGGGGTTTGGCCTGATAAACACCGTTTTGGGGGGGAATCACGGAGAGCTGATAATAAAGTGTCAGTGTATATAAAAGAATTGATAACAGGAAATGTTAATGACATTGTTGGGCAGGTAATACACCTTCACCCCCAATATTGATTTTTTGGATGTACAATGTTGTGTTAGTCTTAGGTGTGCAACACAGTGATTGGATGTGTGTGTGGATTGCAAAATGATCACCATAGTAAGTTTAATTAACATACATCACTACACATCATTAAATTCTTGTGTGTGTGTGTGTGTGTGTGTGTGTGTGTGTGCGTGTGTTGAGAACTTTCAAGTTTTGCTAACTCAGCAGATTTCAAACATCTGGAGCGGTGCTGCTCGCCATGGTCGTCACGTGTGCATGAGATCTGCAGGACTTTCCTGTCTTGTAACTGGGACTTTGTGCGTTTTGACTCCCACCACCCCATTTAGAACTGATTTTAAGTTATATTCAGTAACACCTGCTTTTATATGGAGACCCCTCATCAACCTCCTTCATCCAGTAAAGTATTAGCAAGATTCAAGGAGGAACCAGAAAGGCCTCCGAGCAGCTCTGGTAAAGGTCAGAGAAACTCAGAGATTTTACCCAAGGACACACCTGCATGTGCTTGGCTCTTGTTCTCATGCAGTTCTGGTTGGTTCTGTTAGCAGTAGACTGGAGGAACGAGCACGGGAGCTGCTAGAAGGATCCTGCAATGAGCGTGCGTGGGAGTGGGAGCCCCTAGGGAGTGGGAGCACAGAGACGATCAATAACCGATCAGGAAAATGATCAGAACTCAAAAGTGTGTTGCTCCGGGAGTCTCCACCTGCAGGGCTAAACCTCCATTTTCATCCTTTTCTAGGAAATAACTCTAGTATAACCTGTGATGATTATTCTCTTACATGTCCCCCATCACTTAAGGGGCTGTGGGGTCCTACAGTCTGCCCTCCCGTGTGCTCAGTGGTCCCAGGACTTGGTCCCTTCTGTGTGTTGACACCCTGTCCTAACCTCCTGATCAGCTTCTTACCGTGTAGACACCTGCCCAACAGCCTTCCTGGACATCCCATAATGTGCCCCTAAGCCATGACCAGAGTGGAATGCACAGACTCCCACATTTCTCCTGCATTTCCTCCCAGGTCACCCATCAAATAAATGGCACAATCACTTTCTCATTTCCACACTGGAAACTGGCTGTCGCTTTGATGCCAGCCCCTCCCTGCCTCCCCCACGATCACAGTCTCCCATCCGTCATACCTACTAGTGTTTTCTTCTCCAGCCTCCTGGAGGTTCCTGTTCTCTTACTCTTGCTGAAGCCCCCTTTGAACACACATCCCTCCAGACCGGGTCATGGTGCCTCTGTCACGTAGTCATTTATCCAGCAACCCAAGAGGCTGCCATGTGCATTTCCCTTGAATTCAGAGATGCCTGCCGCATAGTAGCGGCTCAGTTTCTATATAGCATATGAATGAGAGCAGGCAGAAGATATCTGTAAGTATTTCTGGTACACCTAAGGTACAGTTAATTATTCAGAGTTACATTAATCAATTTCCTTTAACAATATCAAATGAATTTAATGTGGATACACCATTTGTAGGTCATTAGGACCCTGCAAATTTCACTGTGTGTGTGTGAGGTTACACACCACCGGCAGTATTGCACCGGCCCCTCTCTCTCAGTGTGCGTGTCACTGGGAGGCTAGGCAGGTGCACGCCTTGCCCCCCTAGAATCTCTCCTACATAAAACTTGCTGCGCACACATCTGCAGAAAGACACCTGCATTTCATTCACCAACTTGATACTTGAAAGTGTCTGATGACATTGGAGTAGAAACAGTTGCTGTTAGCTCAGATTATTCCCTCAAATGGTGCTCCCTGAACGTTCAGACGTTGAGGATCTAGAAACCCATCGCCCTGAGAGAATTGTGCTATTTGTGTTTGGTTTTCTGTCCCTGCCCTTTGGACCTGCAGCTGCAGGCCAGAGTTATTTCTGCCACAGTGATGTTCACAAGGGACGCTTCCGGATATTTTAGTGTGTGATTCCTCATTTAGGAATGAGAGGGACTTCTATTTAATCGACAGATCAATCTAATGTCCTCATATTTTCTACTTTTGAAAAAGAAGTCCTTAAAAATTTTAATCTGCTCTTCTAGATTCCCAAACTTATGCCTGATTCTGGAGATTCTTCTCTTTGTGAAGAATGTTCCATAAATCAGTTCTGCAGCGCATCTCGGGTGACATATGTGATCATTAATGACTCTAATTCATAGCCATTTATTAAGTTCAAACTATATACTGAGAATCCACATGATTCTACCACCACACAGCTTAAAATAATTTAACATTTTCATCGAGTTGGGTGGAATAGCATAAATTATCTTTGTTCAGATATTGTCAGCTACTGACTACTGACACATAAGAATTAGGGAATTTATAGAACAACATGGCTATAAAATAGACTTAGGTTAACTAATAGAATGATGGGATCTGTTGGCCTAATCATACTGACAAGGCACCGCGGGCTCCAATGTAAATTATAGACTAAAGCAATCATTTATTAACATCATCCTTTGTGAAAGAGCAGGCTGTGTAATTTCTAAGCCGCATTCTAGATGACTTTATGTAAGTTGGCTTTGCAGTTCAGCGTAAGTGAGCACAGACTAAGTGGCGTTTCCTTAGACAGCTATAACTCTTCCAAATCAGTTAGCACCTGGGAATCAATACTATGATATCCATGCAAATTTCATGTACAACTATTTCCAATTCATGTGTTTGTTTTATTCATAAATCATACAATAAGTGATTTTCTGGTCTTGTGAAATAATATTGCCCAGGGTTGACTACGGCTTCAATTCACGTCAGCTATGCTTTTTTTTTTTTCATCTGTTACTCTCTCATTTACAATCCACATGAATATCATTTGGTGTCCAAAGTGTTCCTGAAAATTACCCAGTCCAGTGCTCGCTTCAGCAGCACATATACTGAAAATTACCCAGTCCATCTTGGCGCAACGCCCAAGTGCACGTGGGGGAATTAAATACGAATGTTGGCCAAACTTCTGAATTGCCTGGAGATCTTTGTAACATCATAGGGGTTTAGTGAAATTCTGCACATTCCGGAGATGCACCTGTACTTCCTGCACGAAAGAAAAGTCTAATTAAGGAGATGAGTGTGTAAGAGCATCCTTGATGGTGAAGTTCAATGCCCAGGGGCGGGAGGAAGCTTTGTCAGGTGACCCCCAAAAGGAGAGAAGCGGGTGAGCTGACTAGGAAAGCTGTTCAGCCAGACCCGATGGTGCCACATCGCTGAGACTCCACGCCAGCAGCCGCGGTGTGCGATGCTGCCCCGTGGCGCCACGTGCGTGACAGACACGCACAGGACATTTCCACTGGGGATGCTGGCTGTGTCTAGCCCATGCAGTTTTGCCCTGGGTCTTAGGATACTGCAAGAGAAAAGCAGTCATTGAAGGTTATTCTGATCAGCAGTTTCTGAAGAAGAGTGAAGGAAAGGTGGGGCGTCTTGGTGTGGCCGTCAGCAGACAATAATGCACGTTGAGGAGCAGAGAGAATTTTCCTTGTGGTTTCCTCCAGTGACTTAATTAAAGATTATTACCTGGAGTGTGGGGAGCATGAGAACAAGGTGAAGGGAGTTGGGGTAAAGTTGGCCATTGCTAATCCCTGCTGAACCATAAGCGGGCACTCTCCACGAGGGCAGCGGGGGAAGAGCCAGATCTGGGTGGGGTCTGGACGGCCAGAGGGAGCCAGGCTCCAAGCCCCAGACATGACCTTCGGTACTTTCATGCAGGCCACACACGTGTTGTCAAGAGACACTCAGCCGTCACGTCCCTGAATCTTGATCTTGTACTCAGTTGTCTTGCCCTAAAAGTCTACAGAGGTTCACACTCTGCCCTTGCAGTGGGCTTCCGAGTTGAGTGCGTTTGAACTCCATCACCCTGGAGACGGCTTTTGCTCCTTTGTACAGTTTCCAAACAGCTAAGATCAGTGAAGAAGGCTGTTGTTTTCAATCCCCAAATTTGAATTTCAAGGTGGAGAAGCAAGGGACTTTGCGTGGTGATAGGTTTATTGGGACATAAAAACCAGTTGTTGGGGGAAGAGACAACTGCCTGGGACTTTTCACTCATTCTGGCCCAGATGACTTTCAGCTTTCAGGACCATTCAGATCCATTTAAATTGCTTAACTAAACATTTATTGAGAAACTGCTTTTACAGAGTGGAGTGATGGGGTCCGCTTGGTTAAGCCACAGTTTTTTATTGAGGAAGCCACAGATTTTTGCTCTTAGAAAATACCGTGCGTTAACTACCACCAAAATAGGAGTGCATAGCTTTTAGAGGCACAGCTATGAAAATTTTAGAGGAAAAAACCATACAGTTGCAAATAGAAAAAAAGCTTACCAATAAAATTTGAATACTTGGGAAATATTTACTTACTTCCCCTTGCTACATTTTTTGCTCTTGTACAACATTCTCATTATTTTCTTTCGAAGTTAAGGTGGGCAATGGACCAATACCAGTTTTGCATCTTCTTCCTCTTTTTTCTCCCCCAGTATTTCTCTTAACACATTTGTTTAGCGCCACCTATTGATCAAGCAGATAATTAAAGATGAAAAACATTACTTCGGTGTAACCCGGATCTGAAGCTTGAATTCTTCAATCATGGAACAAAGCCCAGGGGAAGACTGCCCTGTGAGCTCTTGCATTTTGCTCAATAGGTTTAGCTTCCTACAGCTGGAAGCCCTCTATGTCCTTATTGTGGTTCTAGCAGTCCCCGCCCATGACACACACACCCTAACTCACAGAGAGATGGCCTGGGTTCAAACCCCAGCTCCACTATTAACAAGCTCTGAACCTTGGGGGAGTTACGTAATCTCTCAATTTCCTTTTCTACAAAATGGAGATACTAGAAAGAAAAGAAATATGTAATTACGAAATATATAATTAATATAATAAAAGAAATAAAACAAATATATGTATAAATGTACTTACCCATGTATATCTACATGTATGTAGAGTATACATAATTTTATATGCAACTTTATTTATTTTATGTGTTATATATATATATATAGAAAAACTTTAGAGTAATGCTTGACACAAAATATATTTTGCTACTATTCTTTTCAAAAATACAATGAATCCTTGTTATTTGTTGGGTGCTTACCATGGGCCATGCACCAGGCTGAGAGCTTTGCACAGCTGACACTGAGGAAGGAGCTATTCCTGTGTTAACGTAAAAGAGAAGGTGGTTCGGGGACTCATGAACATGGCTTAGTGTCATATAATTTGTTACTAGCACAGCTGGAATGTGGGGGAGGCTGCTTCTCCCTCCACAGCACACGCTTTGAAATATTGCCCTATATTTCCTGTTTGGGCATGTTATTCATTATCTTTTATGTCTCTTTTCTATAATAACAAGTCAGTTTATTTTCAGATACAGCACCAAAATAGCTAGAAGCCAGAATATTTTAAAAAATCCATTCTCATCCTTGTTATGAATTTTTAAATGATTATTAAATGTAATATACATGTTGAAAGTGTGATTTACTTACACTGTTAATTCCACAATATACTTATGTAATATTGAAGTATTGGAGAAGAAGCAAAAATCACGACCTTTAAAAATACTATTTCAAATTATTTTTCAGTATATATTTCTGCTATCACTACCATCAATTCACTGTTATGATCTTTAAAGCTAGGTTATTACAAAGAGATCTAAATTCTGGGCTTTCTGTAAAAACTCAACATGTTTCCTCCAAAATTTCAAAAGTTCAAAAACCAGTCTTTTGGTATATTTTGCAAATACCACAAGTTTTAGCACTGGGGATTGTGCTTAGAATCGAAATATTATTTTGTCATCTTTCAAGATACAAAATACTTCCAGGTGAACCAAATGCTTTCATGGATCAGTATCCAGAAGGTTAAAAAGAAGCAGCAAAGTCTTTTTTTTCTTTTAACTTAGAATAAAATTCTCAAAATCTACTATCACCAGAAATTAAAAAGAACCCCTTGTATCAAGAAGGTAATGGGTTAGCGTCCTCTCCCTTGTGGCGGATGCAGGAACTGCATTTCGCTGCGGTGACTTGAAAAAGGCTGAAAAATACCTTTGAACCTTCCAGGTTTTCGTACTTTCTGGAGAGCTGCTTGGTCATCATCATCATCACAGACACCATCGATTGTGATAAGAAATGGTGTTTTCTCTGTAGTCAGCGTTTAAGGAAACATGTCAGGAAAGAATTTCAGATGCCAGGGTTGATATGAAGATCTTCGTTAACGACGTCGTGAAGCCCTAGTTCCCCGGCTCTGGAAGAGAGCACTGGTGATGAGGCACACCAAGTAAAACAGCCTCAACTAGAACTCTCATTCCTGTTTCTGTGGGAGAGAACATCAGGGTTGAAAGTGTGTGTGTCTGTCCCGGTTCAAAGGAAGGTTAGAAGCAAATGTTTAAGTTCATTTGTTTGTTTCAAAAGAAATTCTCACTGTTGCCTCTATGAAATCCAGTTCCTTCCCTCCAAAACCACAAAAGCATTTCTTCTGTCCTATTAAGTTTAAAAGCCTAAATAATGTGTTGAGTTATGTTTGTGTAAAGAGAGAGCAAAGCCAAGTGAAGCCCTCTGTGTGTCATCGTCTTACTATGTTTGAGGCAGAGGCTGCTAGTAGTTTGCCGTTGAAGAAAGAGCGACCGTGCAAATTCCACACGGAATCATACAAACAACGAGGACCCTCCTGCCTAAGGGGATAGTTCTGTATCTTTGCTATGATTCCCACTTTTGTTTTTAAAAATGAGGAGCTCAGGGAATGTTTCCATCTTGCTACAGGTCATGAGCATCTTGGAGGCCTTTGGACATGCCAAGACAACGCTTAATGACCTGTCCAGTTGCTTCATAAAGTATTTCGAACTACAGTTCTGCGAGAGGAAGAAACACTTAACTGGAGGTAAGTATAAAATGAACAAAGGCACATCTCAAGAGCTACCAGGAGAGGGCAGAAGAACCCCAAACGTGGCGCCAACAGTGACCATGGGCCTGTGCTCGTGTGTGTGTGTGTGTGTGTGTGTGTGTGTGTGTGTGTGTGTGTGTGTGAGAGATCGCATGTGCGCACCCCTGAGATGCCAGGTCAGGGCTTCTAAAATTATTGTGAATTGAAAAATACTCAGAAATGTGGGGTGAACCTTTTCAAGATGATTATTGTATGAACTATATGATATGGAACCAAACCAAACATAGCTGAAATGAATCCTAGTTATTGAACGAAGAAATGACTCACATACTCAGTTAAAATAAATGAGAACTTGAGTACCTAGTGCCTTCATGCAACAGACATTGAAATCTATTTTAAATAGAGCTGAATCTATGTTTTTAAAATGATTGAATTAATAAAATAAAATAAAATAAAAATGATTGAATTAGAACAAATCGAAGCAACAAATAACCACCCAACTAAAGCCAAACAGAACTTTTTTGTTGTTGTTTAAGTAGTTAATGTGCACTTTATGAAAAGCCCTTATTTAAAATTCAACTAATTTAAGGGTTCCTGGGTGGCTCAGTTCGTTGAGCCTCCGCCTCTTGATTCCGGCTCAGGTCGCGATCTCAAGAATCATGAGTTCAAGCCCCGCTTCAGGCTCTGCTCCATGGGGAGTTTGCTGGAGATTCCTCCCTCCCTCTCCCTCTGCCTCTCCCCCTGCCTCTCCCCCTGCTCATGCTCTCTCCCTCCCTTTCTCCCTTTCTCTCTCTAAACTAAGAAAATACGTCTTTAAATTTTTTTTAAATTAAAATTCAGCTACTTTAGAATTCACTTGGGATTTTACATCTTTCTAATCAAAGCAGATTATCCAGGCGAATGAATCGTCTGGACAGCACTGCAGGTGGGTGCCTCCTACGCTTGGAAGAATCAAGTGTTGTAGAAATGGTAGTGACAGCTGTCAGCGCACCAACAACCGCTCAGTGCAGTGACTGTAGAAAGAGATCAATCTTAGATGGGGTTTTTGAGTGCTCTTCGGGAAACAGAAGTTAGCTCTGACCGTGATCGAGAAACGAAAAGCCTGTATTTTGCAGTAAGTGTTTGTCAAAATCCATTATTACGCGGTGAAACTGGGTAAGAAAACACAGGAAAGGAGTCAGAGGAGACAATTGTCGACCTTGGGGAAGCAGCTTGAATTCTGCAACAGGACAGTCGTGTTTTAAAGATCGCGACTGCAGGCCGGGCAGGGAGACTCGCGCTGTCAGGGAGACCCAGAGCGCAGAGGTCTTGAGCCTCTGACTCTGGTTTCTGGGTCTCGGTTTTCTAACCTGCCCTGGGAATGTCCCCCGCGGGAGCACCACAGCCTGACCTCCTCAGCTCCGGCACAATTCCCCTTGCGCTTTCGGGGAGTGGCAGTCCGAGCCCCAAGGCTGCTGCTCCCCTGCGTGGCGATGAGCCCTCGCTGCACCCTGGGGAGCTTGTTGGAGATGCAGCCCTGAGGAGTGGGACTCTCTTCCCCAGGACTCCCGGTACCTCCTGGGGCCATCAGGGCTGCGGGGGCACCGGCCAGCCCACGCAGAGCCCGCCACCATGCTTTGCACACGTGGCTCAGGGAAGAACCCCGTCCAGACTCTGCTCATGTGACTTCGTGCGCGGGGGATTCTGTGTTCCCTTTTCCAAGATGAAGACACAATCACGGTCTTCTGCAGGCCTTGCCCGTTACCGACTTTGTGGACTTTCCTCCTGGACAGAATTTAGCATGTTGGTCTCGAAAGTCACGGTTGGCAAGTCGTCGGCAGAGCTGGAGCATACGGCCACGAGCTGCTCCTCCTGCTCCCGGGACGTCCTGGTGGGTGCGCGGCCGCCCACAGGCTTTTCCAGCTCGTCCCCTCTGGGTTAGCGCCCTTGATTCCCTTCCTAGCGACCAGGCTCGCTGGTTTGGCATTCTCCTGCTGCGTTCTTTTAAAAATCCAGCAGTGATTCTGTGGTGGTTCTGCGCAACTCCCCCCCCGCCCAAAAAAAAAAAACTTTAAGAGCAAAACCCATATTACCAAGCCAGCCAGTGCTGGTTGAGACTCTCTTGCTGGGAGCAGGAAAGCCCAAAGGGTCCCGGGGGCTCTGCTTTCCATGGGGAAGGGGACCGGTGAGCGTGTGTGCAGGGAAAGTGCACAGGAGCGGGAGCCTGCTGTGGATGCGCCTGCAAGGACACAGAATGAAGGACGCAGAATGAAGGACACAGAATGAAGGACGCGGAAAAGCAGCATGTCAAGGGACACACTGCACGTGCCTTCACATACTCGCAACCGTGTGGAAAGGGCTTGAGAACAAAGATCTGTGTGTGAGCTCTGCCCAGATGTTCCAGAGAGAAACCATCCTCCCTGATCTCAAGGCCTTCCCAGCGACTTCCTGGGGAGGCCCCCACCGTGCCCTCTCCCCAGGCCCTGGCCACCCCAGCGGGGCCAAGGCGTGGACCCCTCATGCAGGACTTCTGCTGCACAGTTCTGGAGAAGCGGCGGGGAGGCCCCAAGTTCCCCAAGTCCACCCAGGAAGCCCCTGGTAACTGGTGACCGGAGTTCCTATGCCCAGCAGAGGACCGGATGGCACGGATTGTCCCCTAGAAGAAAGACCCCACATGGGAATCCTGTAGAGTGTGGGAGCATGCGAGACCCACTCTGACAAAATGCTATAAGCTCGCTGGCTTGGAGCAGAAGTCCGGATCAGCAGGACGGTGCTGTCCTGGATGTCCCCAGGGGACCATCCTTGCTGGCCTCGTGCAGCCTCGAATGGGTGTTGCCATGTTTGGGGTTCGTTGGCTGGTGACTGTAATGCTCAGGTCTCAGCCTCACTTGTCACGGGGTCTGTCCCTGTGTCTCCCTCCGGACAAATACTGGTCACATCGGACCTGTCCGGCTCCAGCATAACTACTTCTTTTCTGAAAAAGCCCATTTTGTGTTTCACCGGACACTTACACGCCCATCCTGTTGTGTGAAGGGTTAACTCAACCGTGCATTGGACAGGGTCCTGCCCTTAAAGGCTTGCCAGATAGTCGGGGAGCTGGACCTCACCTGTCTGCATCCACTTGTCTGTCTGCATCCACTTGTCTGTCTGCATCCACTTGTCTGTCTGCATCTACTTGTCTGTCTGCATCTCTTCATCACCAAAGGGCAGATGAGGGTCTTGCACAAGGTCGGGCAGAGTCAACGTTCAGTGTCCAGTGAGTAAGTGAGTAAAGGGCCAGTTGAGCTTGCGGGAGTTGCTCTAACAGAGGGTAAGAAGTGGGCAGGACCATAGAGGAGCCTCAGATTCTGCACAGAGCTCAGACTCCAGAAGTCCTGGGTCCAAGGCCCAACCCATGCACCCATGACCTTGATCAAACCACGTGACTAAGGTCGATTTGTAAAATGGAAAGGGGAAACCACAGAGAGCAGGTGGACCGGGTGAATGAGTGAAGTAGGATGTGTGGGGTGGGGCGACTGTGCTGATCTAGAAGCTCTTGCCCTATGGCATGGCCTCATCCTACCGTGAGTCCATCTGCTGCTTCCCTGCTCCGTCACGGTCACATCCCTGGGCCCTCAGGTTGGCACTTAGGCATGTCATTTGTGGGACACAAATGTGGGATGCCACAGAGAATAAGGGGGATCTGTTGCATTATCCTGACCTCTCAAACTAATTTTCAGTTTGGAACTTCTTTGTTACCCCCCCAAAAGAGGTACCGAACACTAGAGGAGGCCTCAGGTTGGTGGATACCTTTGATAATCTCCGCTGATCTCCACGCTCCTTTTGTGAAGGAAAAACAAAAGAGATAATCATTTAAACTACTTCACACGAATTTTCAGGAGAGCTGAGTTATCCGAATGGATCCCCTGGAAGAGGCTTCTGAATTTTAAGTGTTCCCTAAAATAGTAAACCAAACTTGAGTAAGATTTTTACACCTCAAACTAGGTCAAGTGAATGTAGGTTACAGGTTGATTTTGTACTTCGTGGTGGTCTAGAGTTTCCCTTAAATTATCCACTTTTCTAAAACAGTGGCGATGGGTGTCTTGGACAGAGTATTCTCTTACTAATTTTAAGGTTGAGAGAGGTTGCATGTTCCCTTTATAGATACTGTTGCTCCTACGGTTATAACTTAATGCCAGCTCCCTAATCAGGGCTGTAGCCATGAATTATGATAGAAAATATGAGGCTCAGTTTTATGCAATAGCGGCTATAGAAAAGTGGGGACTGTTTATTTTGAAGAAAATTTAATTAATAAAGAACATTCCGGTCTGGCTTTCAGCCCAACATTTCCCCCATCTGATCACTTATTAACAATGTCATTGTTCTGAGTTCCCCGGGGTCTGTGCCAGCACACTCAGGACGGACCGACGTCTAGAACCTCTCACCACAGCCCCGTAGGTGAGTTTGTAGTAGGAAACCTCTGCTAACGTGATGTGCTCTCATTCAGCCAGTGCCTTTGGCTCGGGACTCTGAGGTTGAATCCCTAGTGACTTATACTTTTCATCTAAGAGTGTAGAGGGGTTTTCAGGGCTTAGGTGCACTTATGAAATTAATGGTGGGGATCAAGATCATATCTGGTCTTTTTAAGGTCCTTTAATGTATTAAGGTTATGAGTATGTGCAATGTTTTTTTTTTTTTAAGATTTTATTTATTTATCAGAGAGAGAGAGGGAGAGCGAGTGAACACAGGCAGACAGAGAGGCAGGCAGAGGCAGAGGGAGAAGCAGGCTCCCCGCCAAGCAAGGAGCCCGATGTGGGACTCGATCCCAGGACGCCGGGATCATGACCTGAGCATTATTGTGAATTGAAAAATACTCAGAAATGTGGGGTGAACCTTTTCAAGATGATTATTGTATGAACTATATGATATGGAACCAAACCAAACATAGCTGAAATGAATCCTAGTTATTGAACGAAGAAATGACTCACATACTCAGTTAAAATAAATGAGAACTTGAGTACCTAGTGCCTTCATGCAAC